ATGAACCGAACGCAACACACGCGAACCGAACCGAGACAGTCGAACCGAACGGTTCGGACAGTTTTCATAAACCGTTCCATCCCTAAGATCTAGATTCTCAGATCTATGGTTTAATAATAAATCCAAGTATATTCATGTCAGATCAGCCTGAGTCGGAGCGACTGAACGGTTTTCTCTTTTGCAGACTACGTGAAAGGCTTTGGCGGGAAGTTTGGAGTTCAGACGGACCGGCAGGATAAGTCTGCGCTGGGATGGGACCACCAGGAGAAGCTGCAGCTTCATGAGTCCCAGAAAGGTACAGACTGATCGGGGGGGGGTCTAAGCTTCTAGGATCAGATCCAGAGACGTTTATGGTTTCAAGTTCCCCAGGATGAGGCCGGTTCCTTTCACGTCTTTGTTCCCTTCCATCTCTGATGTGGTTTTTACAATCCTTTTTTTAAGCAGGTCAACAACTTCCTCATCCTCATGCAAAAAGGGGAAGAGAAACCGCAGCTGTGATTTAGATTTGCATGTTGGTGCTGCGGATAGCTCTGTGGCAGCTTACAGGGAGAAAAACAGAACATCTCACTTTGCAGCCAAATCTGTGGGCTCTTTGTTAACCCCTCGGTTTCTCTGAGCAGCTCTTATTATAAATGTGATAAACTGAGCAGAACACAGAAGCTGCTGTTTTTGGGACGTTGATGTCGGGGAGCAGACCTGTGGTTTGGTTTATTCCCCGCTGAAGACCTCTGCTTGCTCCGATGGAAGAACCAGCATGCACCTGGGCCTGAGTTTAGAGAAGTAAAACTTATTGTGAACATGTTTAAAGGCCTAAAGAAGACGAAGATGGACCTGTAAACCAGCTGGATCTCTCCAGGGCAACATTTCCGGATCGGGTTCGCAAAATTGGCTTGATCGCAAGTTCAAATCCAGCGGCTGCGTCCTCTGAAGGCTGATGACGTCATAGCGCGGCGCCGAGGCCTGTTCGGATGACAAGACTCCTAAATATGCGGCCGACAAATACATCCTTCTTTTTGCCCGTTTTGAAGGGCAGGTCGGCTGTATCCTCCGTAGCCTTGGGTATCCCAGAATTCATTGAGAGTCCAAGCAAGCTGGTTGCTCCATGCTTAGAGGAAAAAGGGAAATGGTGCCAAACAGTGGTGAATATTGAAAGTGCAGTTTAATATAATCCCAGTATGTGAATAGTTATGTTTAAAATGGATGAAAATGGTTGTTTTAAATGGTCAGATATGTGGCGGGTAATGTTTAGTAACCTGACTCCGCCAGATGGATATGCGGAGCAAATCCATCTGGAAACCTTCCGTTGAAGTAATTTTGGGAAGGGTGCAAAAATACTGGTTAGCTGATTGGCCTATGTTGGTGATAGACGGGCCAAATAAACCAATCAGATCAACGAAGCATATGACGTAACAGAGTGACGACAAAGAGGAGCCAATTGATAGATCTAACTCTTCCCGAAACCAGTCGAGAGAAGAGCAAAAACATCTTTTCCTCTGAGAAAAGCCTCCAGAGCAGTGTTTTGCTCTTCTTTCAGTGAAGAAATACTCTGTAATTCCGCTAAAACTTGCTCGATAGCCACGCTAACGCTAGTTTCATCGGCTGAAGCCGCCATGTTCTTTAGACTGAACTGTCGCGCTTCTCGTTGCGTCATACCTCAACCCGCCTCAAAGCCAACGCTGATTGGACGTTCGTTTGGTGAACGGCTCAAAATTTTCTTTAACGGAGAGTCTCCAGACTGATTTGCGAGTGAAATCTTGAAAGCTCGTGAGATCAGGATGGTCTCGCGAGGTTAAATGTTTTGTTCATTGAAAGGTTTTATCTGTCCCTGTGTAAATGGGTAACAGTTTGCTGCACAGGGAGGCTGACATTAAGGCTCAGATTCTAATATCTCTGCAGTGTGGGGACTATAAATCTGATATCTGAGACGACGGTACTGCTGCTGAAGCTCCGCAGAAATTTTATTAATACCCAGGACAGAAGTGAGGAGTTCTGTATCCATTCTTTGCCTGCTTTGTGTTTCAACTATCACGGTTGCTAGGCAACATAGCGTATGGGCAGTGAAAGCTGGAGAAATCTGGACCTGTTTGAATCCACAGCCAAACTCTTCCGGACGCAGCCTCTGATCTGAACGAGTCAGTTTGCCGTTTGGTTCTGGTCTTCATCCTGGGTGGGTTTTCAGGAGAACCGGTTCTGCTCAGAGTTCTGTCCCGTTTGTTCTTTTTCTAAAGCGATAAATGGACCCAGAAACGGGGATAAACTTTGACCCGTCTGTTAAACCTGGAGGTTCTGCTTCCTGTCTGACGGTCCTGATGTCCTTGTCTCTGTGGCAGCGTCTGTTTGAGTTGTCTGTCTGTCTGTCTGTCTGTCTGTCTGTCCATGTGTGTTTCAGACTATAAGCGTGGGTTTGGCGGGCGGTATGGGGTAGAGGTGGAGAGGCAGGACCAGAGTGCTCTGGGCTATGAGCACAAGGAGAACCTGGCCAAGCACGAGTCCCAGAAAGGCACAGAGATATTCCTGATCCACAACTTCCTGTTTCCCTTCACCTGACTGGCTCCTCACTGTCAGACCCACCTGCTCTCCTTCAGCCGCAACACGCCCCCCACCTCTGCAGCACTGATGGACCAATGAGAAGCGCTGAACAATTCACTTCCTGTTTTCATTCCTGAAAGCAGGAATTCAGACGTGTTCAGCTGTTTCTCCTCATTTTCTGTTCAACTTCCTGGTTAGTTTTACTTCTGAGGAAGAAGTTTCCGTTCTGCTCCGTTTGTGATGATTCGGACTCCAGGATTAACTAGTCTGGAAATGTCTGCTTTATTCCAGCAGTTTTTCCAGGTTTGGTGATTAGAAAAAAAAACAAAAAAAAACACCTTTATTTCCACAGGCTAAATTTTAATTTTAACAGATTAAGTCAATGTATCCAGATCTTTTTTTCGATTGTGAAACGTAGCAGTTTTACAAGCGGCACTGGATGCTTTTGTTGTGTTCCTGGTAGCTTTCATTAAGTAGCATTTTTTTTTTCTTCTCCCCAGTCTGGATAAATCTGGCTAACATCATCAGATTAGCTCCCTGATTGGAGGCAGAATTTAATTATCGGATAGAAAGAATCTAAAAAACCTTCAGAAGCTGATGGAGATCAGTGCTGTTCTGGTGTGGATAGATGGATGGACCTGCTCTCCCCCTCCTCCCTCCCATAGATCCTCCCTCTCTATCGGATCATAAAGTTCTCAAAACGTCTTGCTGCATGGATTTATTTTTTCCGTCTGTCTGTCGATTTGGTGCATGTTGTTTGGTCACCGTGCACGCCCGCTTCCCGCTGCAGCCGTGCACGTAGAGGCTGCTTCCTCCTCAGCTCTGCATGAGCTCCTCATTCAGAGCCAGGAGGACTGGTTCTGATCTCCCTGGTTCTGATCGTCCTCGTTCTGATCGTCCCGGTTCTGATCGGACTGTTTCTTTTTTTCTCCAGATTATTCCAAAGGGTTCGGAGGGAAGTTTGGTGTCCAGAACGACCGCATGGATAAGGTAAGGCTCCAGCTTCTGTTAGTTTGTGGCGTCATTCCAGAACGCTTTCCTGACCCGTTTGTGTCTCACAGAGCGCTGGAACCTTTGAGGACGTGGAGAAGCCGAAGCCGTCCTACCAGAAAACCAAACCTGTAGAAGCTGGTGAGGCTTTATCTTCATTGTGGTCTTTATTTTTACCGGGATCTTTGAACTCACCGTGTCCCCCTGGTGTTCTGGAGCAGCGAGCAGCAGCACCGGCAGCATCAAAGCCCGCTTCGAGAACATCGCCAAGCAGAAGGAGGAGGAGGACCGGCGGCGGGCCGAGGAGGAGCGGGCGCGCCGACAGGCCAAGGAGCAGCAGGAGCAGGAGGAGGCGCGGCGGAAGGCGGAGCGGCCTGCCTCTCCTGTCCACGCTCCGAGTCCGACTCCACCAGCTCAGCCTGAAGAGGAGTACCAGGTGGGTTCTGGTTCCACTTGGACTGGATGTGGACCAGCTTCTCGCACCATGAGCCGCAGTTTAACCTCCTTCTTCCTGGTTTCTCTTCTAGAACAATCAGGAAATTCTGAGCGAAGCTGCTAGAGACCCAGAACCGATCTACGAGAACACGGAGGACACCCAGGATGACTATGAACAACCAGATCTCTACCAGAACCCGGAGGAGCCCGCTGCAGCAGGTGGAGAATCTAAAACATGGCGATGTTCAGTCGGGCCGATCCGTTCGGTTCTTCTGGTCCTGATGATTTTTGTTTTCTTACAGACGAGTACGGAGAGGACCTCGGGGTGACGGCTGTGGCTCTATACGACTACCAAGCAGGTGAGGCTGGAACAGAAACCTGATGCAGTCAGAACCAGCGGTTCCTGGCGCTCTGGGTCAGGGCGGGTTTTTGGTCATTTTCAGACCTGGTGTTGTTTTTACGATCGAGAGGTTCCTGCTGGCCCGGTAGCAGTTCTTTAGAACTTTTTCATCTCTTCCAGTTGACTGGTTCTGGCCGGGCCCTCAGAAACCGGGGCTGTGAAGACGGTCCATCCACGGTTCCCAAACCTTCTTCCTTGTTTTTTTTTCTTTCCCTTCACCTTGATTTGAAGCATCTGGTTCCGATAGAAAACCAGATGTTTAGGCTGGTTTTCCCTCCAGCTGGTCGCCTCTGGCAGAACCAAACTCTTGTTTCCAGAACTTTTATAGGTTCTGCTGGCTCCGGCTTGTTAAAGCCGCTTCTTTCAGTATTTCTGACGTTCACGTGTCGTTCCTCTTCCAGCCGGCGATGACGAGATCTCCTTTGACCCCGATGACATCATCACCAACATCGAGATGATCGATGAGGGCTGGTGGCGCGGCGTTTGCAGAGGCGCCTACGGCCTCTTCCCTGCCAACTATGTGGAGGTGCGGCAGTAACGGCGCTCCTCCTCACCTCATGTTAGAGCTTCGACGCTGCGCCGGCCCCTTGGTCTCCTCGCTTTCTTTCCCTCCCTCCATCGTCCAATCAGATCCTACTTCCTGTGCAGCAGCAGACAGGAGGAGCAGCTTCCTCCGCCTTAGAAGCAGATAGATGCAGCAGGTCGCTTAACTTTTACTCCCTGAAGATGCAGATTAATCAGGATGAGTTTGGAAATGAATTTAGTCTGAGTAGAAACTGGCTGAACAACAGGAGGGGCCGGAGGCAGCTGTCTGTAGCTCCACCCTTAACTTCTGATCATGGACCAAAATCCGTTTCTCCATGTTGGACCAGAGGTCCGACTCCCTCCTGACTGAAGCTGCACCTGATGATTCATCTTAAGCTTTGTCAGATGGTATTATTGCCTCTAAACGATCATGGGAGGGGGAGCTAACCCTTCCCTCCTCCCTTCAGAGTATTATGGATGCCCCGTTTGGAATCATGTCCCGGTAAATCTGTTCCTGTCGCCGTTCTTCTCTTCAACGTTGAAACATTTTGATTGAGCTGCTCTGAATGTTGTTTTTCTGTCTTAATGTTTCTTCACCACCAGGGGGCGTCTGTTGACCTCAGAGGTGATTGACCTTTAAAAACAGCGATGGCGGCTAAACGGGCTCATTTTTAATAATTCATCTCTGGGTTTTATAATAAGTGACCTTTTCAAATGGATTATTTTTGTTTTTGTTTCAGTTACATCATAACCTGCTCGTTTATTTGTTTTTGTTTTTTCTTAAGTTTCAATAAATAAAGTATGAACATTTAACCCTGTTTGGCCCCTTTTCTTATTCGTTAAAGGAATAGTACNATATAATATACAAGTTTCACTTTTTAAATGGAATTACTGAAATCAATCTACTTTTTCATGATATTCTAATTTTATGACCAGCACCTGTAAATCCTACCTGAAGGACACAGACTTCAAAGCATAGACCAGAAAAATCACATGTGTGGTCCTTCATATCCAACACCTACATGCTCCCCTTGAGTCAGATTATAGCAAACAATGACATCAGCTACCATAACTATGCAGACGATAACTATGCTTTACATCACAATGTCACCAGGTGACTAAGAACCCATCAGAGTGTTGGTTAGATGCTTAGAACAGATAAATATGTGGATGCACCATCATTTTCTACAACCAAATAAAAACCAAACTGAGGTAATAATCTTTGGACCAAAGGAGGAGAAATCCAGAGTTAGCTCAAAGCTTCAGCTACTACAGCTAGAAACCACCGATTATGGCTGAAATCTTGGTGACATGATGGACTCAGTAACTGCCTTTACGAGCCTCTGAAGGTTCAGGTCTAAGTGTCTTCATAGATTTGCGTAAAAAGTCCATCAGACAGCTGCAGCTGATCCATAACGCTGCTGCCCCTGTTCTCACTAGAACTAAGAAAGTAGAGCACATCAGGTCGGTTCTGAAGTCCTTCCAGTGGCTCCCTGTAGCTCAGAGAATAGACTTTAAAACCCTTCTGTTAGTCTAGAAATCATTGAACAGATCAGAACCTCAATCCATAACAGATCTATTTTCAGTGGATCAACCTCCCAGGCCGCTCAGGTCTTCTAGTTCCAGCCTACTCTGTTCACCCAGAACTAGAACCAAACATGGAGAAGCAGCATTAAGTTCCAATGCTCCACTGATCTGGAACAAAATTCCAGAAGACTGGTTGACTGTTGCCTTTTGTATTTCTACTTCTTTTTCTGTCCGCTTCTGTCTCCATGAACCCCAGTCGGCCTCAGCAGACGTTCAGGAAACGTAACAAAAGCTTGTCGATCAAAACCAACTGAAAGGATTCATGAGGGGAAAACAGGATTTTGAAAATGAAAATGCAAAAATTGACAGATCAAGGAAATTCAAGAAATGGGTGTCCAGGGCAAAAATTATAATAATACATTAATTGGTACTAGTACTAAAAGAACAATATGAAAAAGCTTAACAAGATCCCCTTTGTTGCTCTCTTATCTCAGCCAATGAGGAGATCTATGCAGCTGAGAGGAAACAAGGATTTTAAACCATTAAGACCTTTTACACTCTATTTACAGTTATTTTGTTTCAAATCCCCATTTTGATCACCTTTTTGAACATTTAAAAATCGTTGCATTTGTTAGATCTGGTTTCTCTACGGCTTTTCCCTAAAAAGCCAACTTGATGACATCATAAAATCTTAAAACTACCTGATAAAAACTGGTAGCAATGTGCATGATTTCAAAGTTGTAAAAATCTTTTTTAATATTTGGCATATATATTCTACTAACGAAGTTCAAAAAACGATTTAGAAATTGTTTAAAAAATGAAAATAAATGAAAGAAAAGAACAACATTCAGTAACTCTGCCAGAGTGTCTTAAGGTCACACTGTCGGTCCCAAGGCCAGATACAGTAAAAAGGGCGGGTTGATGGTAGAGCTAGCAATTCAACAACATAAAGAGGTTTTTAAGAAAATTTGATATTCTTGCTAAGCCTCTGTGCTACATACTTCGGCTAAAGTATGGAGGAAATAACACAAGTATGAGGAGGAGGAAATATTTTCTAATATTGAAATGCAGCTTGTTCACACAAATTTACTGCACTTCCTAAAGTGCTGATGATGTGCATTTAACTTGTGTATGTAGGAAAAATTGTGAGCTGTTAAATAATATTTTTTTATAATGACATCCTGCAGACCCCTCTAAGATGCTTGAGGGTTAAACCTGGTTAGTAATGCTCTTTTTCACCTGGACAAAATATACATCACTGTCTTAAATGTGTGAAATACAGGCTCTGACATAATATGTCCAATTATTACTCATAGCTTCATGCTGCATCCTTAGGTATCAAGGCAATGTTGAAGATGGAGAAACTGCTGATGAGAGCTCTTGCAGGGGTGGTCAATGTTAGCTTTATTCAATGATGATTATAAAATGAATGTATGTGCATATAGAACATTGAGAAAGGAGATGCTTCACTCTGTCTTGTGATTCAGTCAGTGGAGCATCCTGTCTTATGACCTGATCAATTGTCCTTTCAGAACAATACTCTGTTTTGTAACCATGTGTTATGTTCTGTTAATAAATAAGGCACTGCAGGAGGGGGGTCGGAGAGAGAGAGTAGTGTGTTGGGTTGTAGCTCTTTCTCCCCTTCTGCAGAAGCTGTTGAAAACCCCTTACTGTGTGGACTCAGTCCTTCTTTTACGAACCTACATTTTTGAACCTAACAGTCAAGATGAGCTGATCTGAACAAACCTTGTCTCTCGAGTCCTTCCACAGTCTGATCCTCCACTTCACACTCAGAAGTATGGACCTTAAGTTTGTGGAGAAGAAGTTTGCGCAGTTAAAGAAGTCAAGTGTCCTGGTATAACATAATAGTTAATATGATTATATCACCTTTTAGAAATGTTTACATTTAAAACCTCCTAAATGCAACAAAATAATTGGCGAAAAGTATCCTGGTGGTAGAGAAAGTCCCAGATGCACTATATAGAGCAGGGACTATATAGTGGGCTTTATAGTGAACTCAGTTAACGGGCTGTTGGGACATATACTTTTCACTCCTCGTTGGTCACGTGACTCCGCCTCCCCGCACAGTTCCTGCAGCTTCTTTGTTATTTGTGGCCACTGTCGGGTAGTGCCAGTCTATGGCAACAGCGTGCCGCTTTGACAACAATTCCCATAATGCTTAGTGAGGCGAGCCCTCCTCGCAAAGCATTCTGGAATATATTTCTGCTTGTCTACTGACCATGAATGATCACTACTTTTCAAGGTGCATTGTGGGAAATTTTAAGTCCACTACTTTTTCATCCACTAGACGTTTGACACTCATCTAAAGTAACGTAACCTCTATATAGTGCCCTATATAGGGATTAGGGTGGACATTTAGACACAGCTATAGTGATAATCTGTCCAAACGGTCAGTTAATCGAGTTCAATATATAGTCCTCGCTCTAGATAGTGATTGAGGGATTTGTGGTTTAGGGTGGACATTCAGACACAGCCTTCATTATAATTAGTGTTTCACCGATACAATACCAGTATCGGGCGGGGCCCCGATCCAGCA